TAGTTTCCTATCTTGAGTTTTGCAAATTCGAACCAGAGTGAAAATATATATTTGACCGCCTGTCCCCCCCGCACCCCCCCCCAGTAGCCTTCGCAGCGTGTTTCGTCGTTGACTATAGCAAACATGTTGGGTGTAGAGAAGGCAATCGGGGAAGTTGGTTTTCGTAGGGTCTGCGTACCGCTTTCCTGTTCTGTTTCCTCGTACACTTTTTTTTTTTTTTATCACGAAGGCGGCCACTGCCCCCATCCCCTCCTCCCCCCCCACCGTGACCCAGTCATACCTGCCACGGGGTCCCCCCATCCCGCCGCCGCCGGGGTGACCGCCGCCGCCACCTCCCATGTTGCGGGGGCCCCCGCCGCCGTTGCCGCCGGGTGGGCCTGACGTTGGCGGGGTTTGCACGGACCACGATGCGGTGAGAGAGGAACGTGTTAGGGTTGGGGGATGGGAGGTTGGTTGCTGGCGGAGCGACAAAAAAATCAAAACAAAACAACGCCAACGAAACATGACGGAAATGTCGCACGGACAACGATCGTGAGGCAGGTCACGGGGGACGGGGGTGTAGAGGGGTGCCTACAAGTAGCGGGACGAAAAGACTTACGATAAAATTGGAGGGAGTTATGGTCACAACGATGACATCATCACAAACACCACCAGCTGACGTTCTCATTAAACACTTGAGTAACCATAACGGCGCGGGGCTCCGTGTAAGAAATCAACATCCACGAAACATAACTACTGCTGTACCCCCAACTAACACCAAGCTTAGTATCCTTCCCACGGCTCCCTTGTAGTAGACTTTCTATGTGCCGAGTGTTACTTATATAAAATAAGTTTCGGGTTTGGACGCGAAATAATATGTTGCTAGTTTTTGCGCACGGAATGATTTGGCGATACCGTCGCGGCGTGTATTGGGACAAAAGTTGTGGCGCCGCTATAGAAGCGCACGTACGTAAAAACGCAATGAGGCTAACAACCAGTCGGATATAACCACAGTCAAAGGCGCTGGTGTGATGTACTGTAGCAGTAGACGGTTTCCTGCAAGTGCCAACGCCACCGCAACGACAACAACGTCGCAGGCTATCTAGATACCCTATAGAGGGTGCATCAAAAGACTTCACACCCACCTCTTGGACCGATTTTTCAAAGCTCAATTGTTGTTGTTATTGTTGTCTTCGCATTAGAAACCGTTCCGATCTCTCTCTACCCAGTACCTTCACATGTCCGTACTGATCCTACACTTGACGCGGTCGATTCCCGTGGTCACAGGCTAACTTACCCTAAAAAGGTACACTCAAATAAACTGGCCCAGAGGGGTCCGCAATTTTACACTGGAACTGGGGCAGGAAAGCGGCGACGGCCCCAAAAGTTGAAAATTGATGAAGATGGATTCATTCGTTCGGTGATATTCAGAAAATGAAAAAAATAAAAAATTGAAAATAGAGATGAATTCGTTGTGTCATATTATATAATAAAAAAATTGCAACGTTTGACCCGCCGTCTCGTCGAGAGCTTTTCCGAAAAAGTATGCATATGGATGTGCATGTTCTCTTCGGACTCACTGCTGTAAAGAGTTCAACAAATCCCTTGCGACTGCTGTATTTTAGTATTTAGTATCTGAACGGGTAGTCTATCTGTGAGATTTTAGTGTCGCTTTATTGTTGTTGTTGTTATTGTCTTTACATTAAGCTCGTGTCAGTTGCTAATCCCAAAATCTAGCAAAGACGCCGTCCGTGGTCACAAAAACGCTGGAGCCATCAGAAGATCTAAAGAACACGCAAACTAATACTGTAGCAAGAAAGAGGCATACTACTATTAGGAAACATAAACACAAACACAGAAAGACTTTCTGAAAAACGTGTCATGTATCGGCATCCTCTTCGTCATGGACAAACCGAGCTTTGAAAATCGGTCCAGCGGGTAGGATATCTGGACGCAACTTACGGTGTGCTATGTAAATCTCCTGAACACCGAGAAACACGCACGATGATTACCGGCGGAGTAGCACGTGGGGGGTACGGCCTGACGCCGGTAAAGGGAAGCAATCAGTGGCGGTGAGTGACTGCTGTGTGGCGTAAAATAAAGAGTCAGATTTTTTTCCACTCTTCCTTCCGGCTAAACTTTGCGCGCCACAAACAATCGCACGACCTGCAGGTCAAGCGAGCGCTACACTGCTGCTGCCGTACACACGGTTGCATTTAGTGTTATGCATAGGAGTACACGTACCCCTTGCTGCATCATGCAATTGTTATGAAGTATACGTTGTTGTCTCTCTTCGTCTCTGCATGTAGAGCCCATTGCATGCGCACGTGTGCGCATATCCTACGGCGTAGAGAGAAGGTATGGAAACCAACAACCACCCGGCCACGCAGGGACGTTCGCTGTTTGCGCATAATCTACTCCTCTGTAAGCCTGTTTACCCACAGGGCAAATGCCGTTGAATGCACACGCTGCCCGCCCGGGGTATAGCACATGATGGAAACATAGGCTCCAGGCTGTAACGCTGTGAAGTACTTTCTACTTTATATCCCGAACTACAACCAAACATGGTACGGCTGCCGGGGCGGTG